TTCCTCTCTGGGCTCTTATTTATGCACAGCCCTTCTCCAGATTGCTGAACCTTTCTAGATGCCGGATCAAGACCACCGACAGGATCTTGCCTGTACAAGAGGGTCATGACTGCACACAGAAGTATGATGACTGCACATGGGGGGTCATGGCTGCACACTAGAGGATCGTGCCTACACATAGGATGATCATGCCTACACACAGGAAGGTCATGCATACACACAGCATGATCATGCCTGCACACAGGAGGGTCATGCCTGTACATAGATGGTCATATATATATACACATAAGAGGGTCATGTCTGTGCATGGGAAGAGGATCATGCCTGCACACAGCAAGATCATGCCTGCACACTGGAGGGTCATGTCTGCACACAGGAGAAGCTGCCTGAGGTGAGGAAGCCGCCCCAGCTCAGAAGGACCCCCTGCACCCCGAGGGCAGGCCACTCACTCCCTGCTGAGCAGCAGCCCTGGCTGACCTCATGGGAAGAGGCTCGGGGACCAGGGCCCAGTCCCTCGCGATCAACCCTCCGGGAGGTCCAGCCATCCCAGCTGAGTGGGACGTGGGCCTGAGCCAGGATCCGAAATCTGACAGCTTCCCCCTCCATCCCTCCCGGCCGTTACCACCTAGGAGTGGACCACAGGGTCCCGTAAAGGGCACAGACCTGCCTCAGAGCGAGGGTAAGTCGTCAGCATGAAGAGGATGTTTCTAGTTTGTGTGTGAGTGGCTGGATTCTGCATTTCCTTTTTTAAAACCAACTAGCTTAACATGCAATTACAAAGAATTTGCTCAAAAAATTACTTCGGTGAAAGCAATATGAAGTAATTAAAGCCCGTTTTACATCTGTAGTGTTGACTACTGACCAGTACTTATTACATATTGAATATCACACCATTAGGATTTGCCCAGAAGAGCTGTGAGACCTTCGGAGACGCCGACAGTAAGATGTTAATGGAAAACACGTGTAACGGCGTACCTGCTCACCGGTGAAGTTGTACAGGGAGGACATGTTCTTCCCGTCGTAGATATACACCTTCCGGGAAAAAAGGAGATGAGATGCGGGAAAAGGTAAGAGAGCCCAGATCTTTTAAAAAAACATCTTTACTTTCCTACCATTCCCAAAGTCCTCGCTGCTCTCGGAACTCCGGAAACAAAGTCTGGAAAGAAAAAGCCTGATTACTCGTTTTTAAGACAACACCGGACACCAGAGGAGGAAGGGGGGTGTCAGAGCTGTGGTTCCGTCATGTAACAGACCGTAAGGAAGAGATTTTCTAAAGAATCAGGATCCATAGCCGGGGACCCGTGTGCTCCAACCTCAGAATCAAACGTGAACAAACAGACTCATGAGTGCCCTCCGACACACGCACGTGTGATCCGGTGGAGAAGCCAGCGTGGCTCAGGGGTTGAGCGTTGGCCTATTAACCAGGAGGTCAGGGTTCAATCCCCGGTAAGGGCACAGGCCCGGGTAGCAGACTCGATCCCCAGGAGGCAGCCGATCCATGATTCTCTCTCCTCATTAACTTTTCTCTCTCTCCCCGTCTCCTTTCCTCTCCAAAGTCAATAATACATTTAAGATAAAGGTAAGAATGAAGAAAAACTATATTTACAGGATTGAAAAACCAGCAAATGAAATAGGACAGAGGTGTCTGCTACCCAGAAATGGATCCGCATCAGGGCAGGTCTGCCGCCCCTGATGGGCTGAGGGATTATGGGGAGGGTGGGGAGACAGAGGGTGGGATGAGGGGCGGGTGGGATTTCAGGAGGGTGGGGGAACAGAGGGTGGGATTTCAGGAGAGTGGGGAGACAGAGGGTGGGATTTCAGGAGGGTGGGGGGACAGAGGGTGGGATTTCAGGAGGGTGGGGAGACAGAGGGTGGGATGAGGGGCGGGTGGGATTTCAGGAGGGTGGGGGAACAGAGGGTGGGATTTCAGGAGAGTGGGGAGACAGAGGGTGGGATTTCAGGAGGGTGGGGGGACAGAGGGTGGGATGAGGAGAGGGTGGGGGGACAGAGGGTGGGATGAGGAGAGGGTGGGGGGACAGAGGGTGGGGTGAGGGGAGGTTGGGGGGACAGAGGGTGGGGGGACAGAGGGTGGGGTGAGGGGAGGTTGGGGGGACAGAGGGTGGGGGGACAGAGGGTGGGGTGAGGGGAGGGTGGGGGGACAGAGGGTGGGGTGAGGGGAGGGTGGGGGGACAGAGGGTGGGGGGACAGAGGGTGGGGTGAGGGGAGGGTGGGGGGGCAGAGGGGGGGGGACAGAGGGTGGGTGAGGAGAGGGTGGGGGGACAGAGGGTGGGGGGACAGAGGGTGGGGTGAGGAGAGGGTGGGGGGACAGAGGGTGGGGTGAGGGGAGGGTGCAGTGAGGGAAGGGTGAGGTGCAGGGGGGGAGAAAGGGGAGGGTGCCGATGGGCCTGAAGGAGGGTGCAGTCCGCTCCCCGAGGGGACTGCCTCAGAGCGAGGAGGATGGAGCCACGGAAACACAGCAGAACCCGGTCCCTCGAACTTAATTCATCCCAGAACGCCATCGGAGCAGCGATTTAATCGAAAACGCGTTTGAAAAAGGGTGAAACGCAGCTCGCGCCGACCCTACCGTCCACGCCATCGCCGTTGAAGTCGCCGACCGCCACGGAGTAGCCTGCACGGGGACAGAGGGGGGCGTCAGCGTGCCCACCGCGGGGCCAGCACGTCCTCCGCGGCCAGCCTCCTAGGGACGCGCCTCACAGGCTGGGAAACCGGCCTGCCCGCCAGCTCACCGAGCTCCTGGGAGCGCACAGGCGCAGTGCAGCGCGCAGCAGCCACGCTCCGTGTCTGCCGTGTGCACGTGGTTCGGTGAACGGGGGAGGGGAGGGGAGGGGAGGGGAGGGCGGACGCCCGTGACTGCGAACGCCAGCCCCGCATTTAACACCGAAAACAGCACGAGCTCGGAGCCTGGCCCCTGGGCGTGAGGCTCAGAACAGCACGCTGTGAGTGAGGGGCTTCTCACAGCGAGGGCCTCCCCGGGCCCGGGTTCCTTCATTTTATATAAAACTGGAGACTGGAGGCCCAGTGCACGGAAGTCCTGCACGGTAGGGCCCCTAAGCCTGGCAGGTGACCAGGGCCGATCTGCAGGGTGACTGACTGGCGGGGCGACTGGGAGGCCCCCACGGGCACTACCTTGGCTGGCCTGGTACCGCCTGCTCACCGGCCCAGCCTCCCACTGCCACCGCCATCACCTCCCTCTGTGGGATGACTGGCAGGGCAATCAGAGGGCCACCTTGGCTGGCCTGGCGCCACCCGCTTGCTGTCCCTATCCCCTGCCACCACCACTGGGGGTAGCTCCTGCGTTGAGCATCTGCCCCCTAGTGTCTGCATCATAACAACCGGTCATTCTGCGCATCATTCTGCTGGACAATCGATTTGTGTATTAGGCTTTTATTATATAAAATGGGAACAATTACAGTGCACGCTACAGACTTCTTGTGAGGATTCAGTGAGTTAAGAATGAAATCCAGTAGCCTGACCTAAAAACGTTACCTGCTATTGACACCACAGTCGAAGCCAGTGGCCGGCAAACTCACTAGTCCACAGAGCCAAATACCAACAGCACAACGATTGACATTTCTTTGGAGAGCCACATTTTTTAAACTTAAACTCCTTCTAACGCCACTTCTTCAACATAGACTCGCCCAGGCCGTGGTGTTTTGTGGAAGAGCCACACTCAAGGGGCCAAAGAGCCACATGTGGCTCGCGAGCCGCAATCTGCCGACCACGAGTATAAAATGATCATGCTCTTAGATTTCAGTTAAAGAAATGTAACAGAACCATTCGGAATTACATGCCCCTCACGTTATAAAAAGGACACGGAAACCTGAGTCTGTTTCACAGGAGAGTTCCCCACGGAAAGCAGCACCTACAGGACCTGACCCCTGGAGTCCAGGACTCGAACCCCCGTTGGCTCCACCTACCCAGGTAGCTGTCGTCGAAGACGGCCTGCGCGGTCCGCGTCGCCAGCTGGTTGCTGTACTTGACACTGTATACCTTGGGGTCGTATTTAGAGACAATTTCTGCCACTTGGTCCGAGATGAGCTGGCCTGGAACAGAGAGGAAAACAGTCACTTCCCGACGGGAGCTGCAGATGCACGAGGAAAACAGCTTCGATGTTATTATTCCCAACAATGAGTCGCCCGTGCCTCTCCTTCACAACCTTAAACCTGACACTGGATTTCATCGTTAAGCCACCATTATTTCTATTCCCTCTAGTACACACATAAAATTGGTCTCTGCTAATAAACAAAATTTTCTGAATAGAGACTTTGTCTTAATTCCCTAAAAGAAAGAAAAAAATCAATGTTAAATAAATGGAATAAAATCAAGGGCTATTTTCCAACAAAATTGGTCCTGATCGCCAGCCAGGTCTAGGGACGTTACCGGAGCATGAATTTCATGCCCTGGGCCTCTGGTACTATCTTATGTTACATATATAATAAGACACTATAAATACTGTCTTACCACCCTTTAAAAAACACTGTGTAACTGGTAAGTAATGTGTATGTCCTCTGAATGACTATACAGTCACTGTTTATTGACATGCAGCTCATTTCCAAAACCGAGTTATTCGCTGCTGAAGTGTAGGTTCATTTTTGGGGACACCCTTAGGTTGTATTTTCCTGTTTCTTTCTAAGTGAAATAAGCCAGTCTGAGAAAGACAAGCATCACGTGATCTCCCTTTGGTGTGGAATCTAATGAACAAAAGGAACTGACCAACAGAGTGAGACCCGAGGCAGGGGGCGTGGGACAGACGGACACGCCTCCATGTGGGGGTGGGGGGAGGAGGAGAGAGGAACCCAAGAACATACATGCACGGCCCACGAACACAGGCAATGGGGGGTGGAGACCTGGGGGAGGGGGTTAGGGCTGGGCAGAGAGCGGTCAAGGGGGAAAAGGGAGACATCTGTAATGCTATCAACAATGATGTGAAATATCAAAGATTTGAAATCTCACAGGAGCTCGCTGAGACCGGTGGGTGTGAATCAGCACGGTCACTAGTGGGCGATGTGAACCACATGACCTACCTTGCCAGTAGAAGCTGCCAGGGCCGCCCAGGAGCACTCTGTCGGCCTGGATGAAAGCAAACAAAACGAGGTATTTAGAAGCAGAAAGCTTTCAACACGGGAGCAGTGACATGCACGTGAGAGCGCCATCTGTGCACATGTATGAACGGAACATGGGTACACGGACATTAAAGAGAACAGAATCGTAAATCGCAGATGCATCCACCTCCGGCTCAGGCATTCCTAAGGTGCCTTATCTAAAACACACCAGAAATGAGAAGCTGTCATAGATCCACTGACTGTGTGAAACTAACGGACAGAACACCACACCTACAGGTCTGCCTCACAGACGGGGTTCGAACGTCGTCACAGGTTACATCACGGAAAACAGTCACTCCTCACTACTGCCTTCTGCCTCTGTGAGGACACGGCCACGTCCTTCCCAAACCCTCACACAGGCTGCACCCGCCAAAGTCACGCTCACCCCCGGGGTCACGCACACCCACTGGGGTCACGCTCACCCCCCCCGGGGTCACGCTCACCCCCCCCGGGGTCACGCTCACCCCCCCCGGGGTCACACTCACCCCCCCCGGGGTCACACTCACCCCCCCCCGGGGTCACGCTCACCCCCCCCGGGGTCACGCTCACCCCCCCCGGGGTCACGCTCACCCCCCCCCGGGGTCACGCTCACCCCCCCCCGGGGTCACGCTCACCCCCCCCCCGGGGTCACGCTCACCCCCCCCCGGGGTCACGCTCACCCCCCCCCCCGGGGTCACGCTCACCCCCGGGGTCACGCTCACCACCCCCCGGGGTCACGCTCACCCCCCCCCCCCGGGGTCAGGCTCACCCCCCCCGGGGTCACACTCACCCCCCCCCCCCGGGGTCACGCTCACCCCCCCCCCCCCCGGGGTCACGCTCACGGCTGTTGGAAACCAGCAGCCGGGGCAGAGCAGCGGACGCACTGACCCTTAGTTTTGCCCACGACAGGGAGGGAGGCGGGCTAGACTTAGACTCCGTGCGGTCTCACACGGGCACTTACTTTCGTGAAGTCGATGCTGAACCCTCCTTGACAGAAGCCCTGTCCGTCAGCGTCAATATTTTCTAAAAAAAAAAAAAAAGATTGGAAATGGACACAAGCCCCAAACACCCCCCGAGAACAGCCCTGACATCACCGTGATGACGGGACCGCGCCCCGTCTCCCTCACGCGGGCTCTCACGCACGAAGCCGCCACCACACGGACACGGCACACGCGTGTTCTCGCCGCGAGGACCAGAGAGGAAAGGCCCAGCCATTCGCCAGGCAACGAAGATGCCGGCTTTCAGACATCTTACTTTTAACCACAAACCACAGCACACTTATATTTTATCTCACACACACACACACAGACGCACACACACACTACCCAACACGCACCTATGTAACGAAAGCAATCTCACAAAACACCGTCACCGTTCTCAGGTACCGTACACGCTACCTTCTGTACTTTATCCCGTTTCGTCCCATCTTTTTTGGTGACTGGCTATGACCCGCTATTCTGACTTCGTGAAACATGATGAGCTGTGACCGGAGTTAAAATTCCCCTTCAAAATCCCTGTTTCTGCCAAAACTGGTTTGGCTCAGTGGATAGAGCATTGGTCTGCAGACTGAAGGGTCCCAGGTTCAATTCCGTTCAAGGGCATGGACCTTGGTTGCGGGCACATCCCCAGTAGGGGGTGTGCAGGAGGCAGCTGGTGGATGTTTCTCTCTCATTGATGTTTCTAGCTCTCTATCACTCTCCCTTCCTGTCTGTAAAAAAATCAATAAAATATATATTTTTTAAATCCCTGTTTCTGACTGCTATGACCCTACAGCCGGGAGGTCCTCGCACCAGTAGAGATACACACATTCCTCGCACACACATTGCTTACATACAGGTTCTAGCCAGTAACAACGACAAAATCTACTGAAGAAATAACCCAGGACTTGGGGGGCAGCCGGCACCAGCCGATGTTCTGTGACAAGCAAACACGAACCAATCCTCACGGCACGTTCAGCTCTGGGGTGGGTGAACGCGGACGGCGCTCGGCAGGACCCCGCCGTCCGCCCACTCCGGGGGGCGACCCTCTTCGGGGGACGGTTCTGGGCAGCTGGTCTATCCGTCTAAGCCAGACTGACCGTGAGTCCCATCGCACCGAGAACAGACGTGGGTGAACCCCAGTTCTCCCTCGTTTTATTCTGAGGATGAACAGGAAACGGTGGATAAACAGGCCACTCTTCGCTGGGCGAGGAATGTTCCCTCCTTAACCGACTTCTCAGTCACAGGGGCACACGGCATTCCGTACCGCCAGGCCCACGGGGGTCACACGCTACACGCCTCGTGGGCCCTCGCCCGGTCCTGTCGAGGAATCCTCACAGCCGGGGTCGCTGTGAGGGGAAGTAAGCCCCGTGGCTGCGTTTGCCTCCCAAACAGAGGAACCGAAACCGATCTGCGGGCCAGGACTTTAGTCAAACACTCCCACCAAAACTCCTGGGAACTGCCCCAAGATTACACACCTCACATTCCACATTCAGGTGTTTTTTTTTTTTAAGAACTAAACCTCGGGAGTGTGAGTGGCCCCGTGTGAAGCGGGAACTGCCGTCACCGGAGGATTCTCTCCGCCCCACGCCGGACGCGCGGGTCCTCTCTCCAAGGTCCGTCCGGGGACAGCTTCGGGCTGGTGAGGAGGGCGGCCTTTTATCGTCAGACTTCCTCGGCTTCCCAGAACACCCCGCAGAAACCACCCTGCCCTTTCAGAGGTTCCTGACGGGAACACGGTTTCTCTTTAGTGGGTGTGGGTTTTTTTAAATGGATTTTTAGAGAGAGAATAAGGGAGAGGGAGAGAGAGAGAGAAACATCCATGGTGAGAGAGAATCACAGACTGGCTGCCCCCTGCAGTCCCCCAGGGGGGATGGCGCCTGCAACCTAGGCCTGTGCCCTGACTGGGAATCGAACCCTGACCTCCTGGCTCCTGGGTGGACGCTCAGCCCCCGGGCCCACCGGCCGGCAGGAACACCGCGAACCGAGCTGATGCCGCCACTGGGAGCGCCGTGCTGCGGCCCTCCGGCAGGAGCTGGCTGGCCGGGCCGGGCCGAGCCGCCTGGCAGCACCTCTGCCCGCAGTCACGGGGGCAGCGAAGGCCGCCGGCCGCCCGCACCTCCACCGACCGGGGGCCAGAGCGGCTGTGGGGCAGGGCCAGGGCCCGGGTGCTGATCGGCGACTCTCTCATCCATGTTCCTAGCTCTCTATCCCTCGCCCTTCCTCTCTGTAAAAAGTCAATAAAGTACACTTAAATAAAAAAAGAAGAAGAAAGACTCAGTGGAGCTTCTTTTGACGAAAAGTGACTAAAAATACAAACTTCCAACCTGCTGTATCCGGGGACCACAGAGGATGGAGACGCTTTCCTTCGGAGACCAGCCTGCCGCCCGCACACCTGTCCTGACTCCACGCTAGCAGGCCTGGCTTCACTGTGCTGTCCTGCACCGCGAGAGCCTGTCTGTAAATGTTACCCCTACACTCACACACGCACTCACACACACACATACACACTCACAGGCATGCACACACGTGTGCGTGTACACACGCACTCATACATTCACACACACACGCACTCACACACACCCACACTCACACACATGCACACGCACATACACACGCACATACATGCACACACACATACATGCACACACAACCACACACACACTCACATACACCCACCCCTTAGCCATCCAGACACAGCCTGCCCTCGGAGGCGGTGCCCCCCGCGTCCCCGCGTCCCCACGTACTTGAGCGGCAGGGGGCGTACTCCACGGTGCGCGCCCCGTCCTGCAGGAAGCAGGTGCCCACAGGCTCGCGCTCCTGCTTGGTCTCCGTCCTCCAGTGGTACAGCGGGGCGCAGGCCTGCGGCAGAGGCAGTGAGGGCGGTGAGGGCGGTGAGGGCCGGTGAGGGCCGTGAGGGCAGGTGTGGGCCGGTGAGGGCGGGTGAGGGCGAGTGAGGGCGAGTGAGGGCGGGTGAGGGCGGGTGAGGGCGGGTGAGGGCGGTGAGGGCCGGTGAGGGCGGTGAGGGCCGGTGAGGGCGGGTGAGGGCGGGTGAGGGCGGTGAGGGCCGGTGAGGGCGGTGAGGGCGGGTGAGGGCCGGTGAGGGCGGTGAGGGCCGGTGAGGGCCGGTGAGGGCCGGTGAGGGCCGTGAGGGCCGGTGAGGGCGGGTGAGGGCCGTTGAGGGCCGTGAGGGCCGGTGAGGGCGGGTGAGGGCGGGTGAGGGCGGGTGAGGGCGGTGAGGGCCGGTGAGGGCCGGTGAGGGCCGGTGAGGGCCGGTGAGGGCCGTTGAGGGCCGGTGAGGGCGGGTGAGGGCGGGTGAGGGCCAGTGAGGGCGGGTGAGGGCGGGTGAGGGCCGGTGAGGGCGGGTGAGGGCGGGTGAGGGCGGGTGAGGGCCGGTGAGGGCGGGTGAGGGCCGGTGAGGGCCGGTGAGGGCGGGTGAGGGCGGTGAGGGCCAGTGAGGGCGGGTGAGGGCCGATGAGGGCAGGTTAGGGCCGTGAGGGCGGGTGTGGGCGGGTGAGGGCGGGTGAGGGCCGGTGAGGGCGGGTGAGGGCCGGTGAGGGCAGGTTAGGGCCGTGAGGGCGGGTGAGGGCGGGTGAGGGCCGGAGAGCCTGTGCCCTGACGGGGAATCGAACCCTGACCTCTGGTTCATAGGTCAACGCCGGCCGGGCGGTTGCTGCATTTTAAAGAAAGGGGTGCTCAGGGGTGATTACCCAGCGTGCACCACTCCAGCCCTGGCCGGGGGAACAAACTCCGGGACCAGCGAGGGAGGGAGAGGAAAACGGAGGCAGGCAGACTGGACGGGAGCCGGGCCGGGGATTAGCTGTCCCAGCTCCCAGTCCCGGCCCCGAGCACAGAGCTCAGCTCTCAGCACGGAACCCCCGTCCACACGGAGCGGCTGGGAACACCCACACACTCACCAAAATCTTGTCCTGCTTGGACCTCACCGACGCGCCGAACCACTGATGGGACTTGAACTCCAGCGGGTCGTCCCGGGCGAAGTCTCTGTTGCCTGGAAAACAGACGCGGTGAGGGGGGCGTCAGGCGGCAGGTCTCCGAACAGCCGCTTTCCGAACAGCCAGTCTCTGAACAGCCGGTCTCTGAACAGCCGGTCTCTGAACAGCCACTCTCAGAACAGCCGCTCTCCGAACAGCCGGTCTCAGAACAGCCGCTCTCAGAACAGCCGCTCTCAGAACAGCCGCTCTCAGAACAGCCGGTCTCCGAACAGCCGGTCTCTAACAGCCGCTCTCCGAACAGCCGGTCTCCGAACAGCCGGTCTCCGAACAGCTTCTCTCAGAACAGCCGCTCTCAGAACAGCCGGTCTCCGAACAGCCGCTTTCCGAACAGCCGGTCTCCAAACAGCCGGTCTCTGAACAGCCGCTCTCCGAACAGCCGCTTTCCGAACAGCCGGTCTCCAAACAGCCGGTCTCTGAACAGCCGGTCTCAGAACAGCCAGTCTCCATGCAGCAAGTCTGACCGTGTGGCTCTGCTCAGACACCGCATCCTTATTCCTCTCCCGAAGGATGACTTAGAGGTGCCTCAGGGCTGTGGTTGGCAAACCGCAGCTCGCGAGCCACAGGCGGCTCTTTGGCCCCTGGAGTGTGGCTCTTCCACAAAACACCACGGCCAGGGCGAGTCTGTGTTGAAGAAGTGGCGTTAGAAGAAGTTTAAGTTTAAAAAATTTGGCTCTCACTGAAACTGGTGTGGCTCAGTGGATAGAGCGTCGGCCTGCGGACTGAAAGGTCCCGGGTTCGATTCCAGTCAAGGGCATGGACCTTGGTTGCAGCCACATCCCCAGTAGGAGGGGCACAGGAGGCAGCTGATCGATGTTTCTAATTCTCTATCCCTCTCCCTTCCTCTCTGTAAAAAAATCAATAAAATAGATTTTAAAAATAAAGTAAAAAACGTGGCTCTCCAAAGAAATGCCCATCGCTGTGCTGTTGGCATTTGGCTCTGTGGACCAATGAGTTTGCCGACCGCTGGTGTACGTCTTCGCCGTGACGGAAAGCAATGTGGACGGCCTCCATTAACCTTCACACTCAGTCAGTCAGGAACGTGTCCTCTCTAATTAACTCGGTGTTTGTACTTCATTCCCACACAGAAAGGAGTTCAGCTGCTAAATTCTGGAACACGGAGACGGAACAGCTCCCGCCAGCCCTGCCACAAGCATCGTCCCCGTTTCTCCCTTCCACGGCTCAGAGCCCAACGGTAGGGGCAGTCTGACACAATTCGTTAAAAACAACGACTCTTGCCCTAGCTGGTGTGGCTCAATGGCTAGAGCGTCGGCCTGCAAACTGAGGGTCCCGGGTTCGATTCCGGTCAAGGGCATGTACCTTGGTTGCGGGCACATCCCCAGTGGCGGGGAGGGGCGGTGCAGGAGGCAGCGGATCGATGTTTCTCTCTCTCTCTCCCTCTCCCTTCCTCTCTGTAAGCAATCAATAAGATAATATTTTGAAAAAAGAGCCGTCAGAACAGCAGAGCCGGAGGGAGGCACCAGGAAGGCCCATCCCCGGAGGGGTGATCGGCTGTGCGTTCAGGGCCCGGCTCTCCCCGGGAACAGGAACAGGCTGCCCCCTGAGAGGACTGCGCGGGGACGGCGAGCAGGGCACACAGGCCCTTTCAGAGCGCCCGCCGCCCTCAATGCCGCCTTGTCCGGGGACCAGCGGAAACGCTCCTGAGAGCATCTGGCGGTTCAAGACAAAAACGCTTTGCCGGCGGCTTTTGTTTCAAAGCCAAGTCCGGCTGAGCCTTAAACGGAAGGGGACGTGCCAGGTCAGAGGCCTGGGAAGAGGCTTAAAGGATCCTAAGAAAGTTCCGTTTTGGCAAAACTTCCCACGTGTGAGAACAGCAGCTGACAGCACGCGGGGGAGCCACCGGGGACACAGGACGGACGCGCTGGCTCTCGGACCGCCTCGCTCAGCAGGGGGAGGGAGGCCGCCTCTGGAGGAACAGGGTCTTAGAAAGAAAAGCCCTGGCCGGTGTGGCTCAGTGGGCAGAGCGTTGGCCTGCGGACTGAAGGGCCCCGGGTTCGATTCCAGTCAAGTGCACGTCTCTCAGTTGCAGGCTTCTCCCCGGCCCGGGCCCTGCCTGGGGCGCATGCAGGAGGCAGCTGATCGATGTGTCTCTCTCACGTGGATGTTTCTCTGTCTCTCCCTCTCCCTCCCACTCTCTCTAAAAATCAGGGGACACATCCTGGGCTGAGGATTAAAAAAGGGAAGAAGGAAAGAAAGGCCTTCACAGCGACAGACTGCAGATGCTGGGCCACAGCCCTCAGGCGGCTCCCCGGACCCAGCTCTCCGGCTCGCCAACGCCCAGACCCCGCACGCCCGGCGGTGCTGACCGACCAGCTAACGGCGATTCACCAACCAGGAGCTGTGCTCTCCGGGCTGCTCAGCCCCTGTGACCATGAGTCCCGCCGGCAGGTCGAACAGGAGGGGCGTGGGGTGACCGTTCTAACGGAGAACGTCCATGGAGGTCCCGCCGGCAGGTCGGACAGGAGGGGCCACTTGATCACATACAACGTAACGTCCCCATGTGGGCAGAGGCAGCACATGGTCGAACACAGTAAGTCACCAATGACCTACAGCTCCTCCTGCTGTCACGGATGCTGTGCCAGAGGACACAGAAGCCCTGGCCCGTCACACCAGCATCACGGTCTGCCTCCGTGTGGGAAAACCTGAGCCTGTGCAGGTCCTTCTGGGGTTTTCCCAGGTCAGCCGCGTGTGGAAACAGCAGCGTGTCACACCGACGGCCTCACACGGAAAAACCAGGCATGTCACACCGACGGCTTCACATGGAAAAACCAGGCCTGTGACCCGGGCTTCACACGGAAAAACCAGGCATGTGACCCGGGCTTCACACGGAAAAACCAGGCGTGTGACCCTGGCTTCACATGGAAAAACCAGGCGTGTGACCCGGGCTTTGCACGGAAAATCCAGGCGTGATGACTGACACCCACTTGGCACCGCTCAGGAGCGAATGGAACGAACAGCCCAGTCACCACGGTTCCCGTGTCAGCGACTGGCATTCCTGGAGGGAAAGGGGTGCTGGACCAGCAGGAAGTTACCGCACAGAAAACAGCGTTCACCTCCAGCTGGCCCTAACCCTCAGCGGAGCCCGCCGGCCAGGGTCACGGAGAAAGCACCTGCGGGTCCCTCTGGTTCTCTGGGGCCTCCCTACGCTTTCACAGATACACACAAACACGCCAACACACGTGTGTGCAGGGCGACATACACAGGGTGCCCCCCAAAATGTACAAAATGGAAATGGAAATGAATAATTACCAATTCCAAAGGGTTAAATCTGAAAGAAGGAAACAGCCATTGAGCTGTCAGCTGTGGAAGCTGTTAATGTGGGGGAACACCCTGTACTTCATTTCACCAATCTAAAGGCAAAAATTATTATTATTATTATTATTTTACTTTTATTGATTTCAGAGAGGAAGGGAGCGGGAGAGAGAGAGATGGAAACATCAACGATGAGAGAGAACCATGGATCAGCTGCCTCCTGCACGCCCCACGCTGGGAATCGAGCCTACAACCCGGAGCCTGTGCCCTGACCGGGAATCGAACCCTGACCTTCTGGTTCCTCGGTCGATGCTCAATGACTGAGCCATGCCAGCCGAGCTAAAACTTCTTTCTTTCTTTTTTTAATAAATATTTTATTGATTTTTTACAGAGAGGAAGGGAGAGGCACAGAGAGTTAGAAACATCGATGAGAGAGAAACATCCATCAGCTGCCTCCTGCACACCCCCTACGAGGGATGTGCCAGTAACCGAGGTACATGCCCTTGACCGGAATCGAACCCGGGACTTTTCAGTCTGCAGACCGACACTACCACTGAGCCACATCGGTTTCGGCAAACGTTAATGTTCTGAAGAAACCAAACGACGGCTCTCAGCCAGGGCCCGGCCCTGCCTTACCTGTGGCGTCGAACTCGATGGGCTGGCACCTGCGCTGGGACGACCAGTCGCACTTGAGGACCTGGCCGCCCTCCACGATGCCCGGCTGCGTGGTGTTGGCCTTGGGCGCGCCCACCAGGAGGAAGACGCTGAGGCCGGGGGGAGAGAGAAACATCCGTGATGAGAGAGAACCCGGACCGGCTGCCTCCCACAGGCCCCCATGGGGACCGAGCCCACAACTCGGGCCTGTGCCCTCAACCGGAATCGAACCCGGGACCTTCAGTGCGCAAGCTGGTGCCCTATCCCCTGAGCCACACCAGCCAGGGCCAAATCCATTATTTTTTTAAAGGTTTTTTCTTTCTTCAGTTTCCTCCAAGGACCACGGCTGAACGCTGAACGCAAATGCAAAATCAGGAAGAGAAAAGGGTAAGACGGCAGGGCGTGGGGAAGGCGCACGGGGTTCGGTGTCCCTGGCCAGCAGCAAACCCTGGAGCAATCCCGTTTCTTTCTTTTTTTTTTTTTTTAATGCAATTTTAATCTTGATCACCAGTTCATATGTATGTGTTTTTTTATATATATTTTATTGCTTTTTTACAGAGAGGAAGGGAGAGGGACAGAAAAAGCCAGAAACATACATGACAGAGAAACATCAACCAGCTGCCTCCTGCACAGCCCCCACTGGGGATGTGCCCACAACCAAGGTACATGCCCTTGACCAGAATCGAACCCGGGACCTCCCAGTCTGCATGCCGATGCTCTATCTGCTGAGCCACACCAGTCAGGGCAGCAATCCCGTTTCTTATGCAACTTTCCCTCCGAGAAGCTTGGCCAAGAACAGCATCAGGATCCATCCTCACCGCCTGCCCATTTTATTCTTTAAAGTACATTTTTATTGACTTCAGAGGAAGGGACAGAGAGACAGGAGCATCAGTGATGGGAGGGGGTCCCTGACCGGCTGCCTCCTGCATGCACCTGGGCGTGTGCCCCGACCGGGAATCCCACCGGGACCTCCTGGCTGGGGCTAACGCTCAACCACGAGCCTCAGTCAGCGACTTAAGTGAGCGTGTGCGTGCGGAGCGGGCTGCTGGCCTCACGCTAAGGAATTCTAACAGACAAAGAGCAGGGTGTGGGCTCAGGGCCCGGGAGTAGAAGATGGAGAGACGGAGGGGGGGGGGGGGGGGAGTGTGGAGACAGGGACGGGGTGAGGATGGAGGAGGACAGACACCGGAGCTCAGAGGGGCCCCAGCAGAGGCCCTCCGCCCGGGCCCTGCGACCCCACTGTCCCTTTAAGGGCAGCTGCTCCGGGGGGGTGGCCTCGGCTCCCGAGGAGAGGCGGCCACAAACAGGGACAAGCACACTGTCCACAGGAGCGAGTCTGTGGGTGCTGCCAGCACCAACCCCTCTCCTCTCCCCGACTCCCCTCCCCCAACTCCCCTCTCCAACTCCTCTCCCCCTGACTCCTCTCCCCGACTCTCCCCCCCAGCTCCTCCCCCCGACTCCTCTCCCAAAGGAATGTCTGAATCAGCACCCTGTGCTTCACAGAAAGGCTTGTGCATACGTCTTCAGAACCGGCCCTGACCAGTGTGGCTCAGTGGATAGAGCGTCAGCCTGCAGACTGAAAGGTCCCAGGTTCGATTTCGGACAAGACATGTACCTTGGTTGCGGGCACATCCCCAGTAGGGGGTGTGCAGGCGGCAGCTGGTCGATGTTTCTCTCTCATCGATGTTTCTGGCTCTCTCTCCCTCTCCCTTCCTCTCTGTAAAAAATCAATAAAATATATTAAAAAGAAAAATACTTTGATGCTATTTCAGAGCCATCTGCACGCTCGCAGCATGGGGGCGGGACGGTGAGTCCCCAGGGGGCCCTCTCCGTGACCCCGTCCGTGACCCCGGGCTGGGTCAGGGAACCAGCACAGGCGTCACGTCTGGTCACGGCTCCGGTCTCCGGCCCAAGGAGAGCCGAGGCTGCAGGCCAACTGCAGCGCAGGAGCCAGCTCTGTGCCCAGTGTCCTGGAAATGGTTACAATGGTGAGGGGGAATGGGCATGAATACCTCCATTGATCTTGAGAGAGAGAGGGAGGGAGAGAGGGAGGGAGGGAGGAAGGAAGGGAGGAGAGAGAGAGAGAGAGGAGTATTGATGTGAGAGACCCAGCCATTTTTGCCTTCTGCACGTGCTCCAGACCAGGGCAGCATCGACCAGGTACGTGCCCTTGACTGGAATGGAACCAAACCTGGGACCCTCTGGTGCTTGTCCAAGGTCCTACCCACTGAGCACACCGGCCAGGGCAGGCCTGAGCGTCTGGAAGTGCAGGCGGAGCGGGGCTGAAAGGGCCTCCCCGCCCACCCCCCATGCTGCAGCCAGGGCCTCCCAGCCCTGGGGAAGACCCCCTGGAGGAGACTGAGCAGCGAAGGGTGCTCCAGAGACACGCCCCCCAGAGGCAGGGCGGTGTCTGCAGAATCAGGAGCCCAGCAGTGGGCACAGGGGCAGGGACCAAGCGCCACCCAGACACTGGTGTCCTCGGCAGGGCAGAGGGGCAGGGAGGGCACAGGAAGGCTCCGGCACCTTCTGCCCGGGGACTAACCACCGGCTGATAAGAGGGGAGTGCACATCGAAAGGAAATTAGTGAGAAGAAATGTCTCAGAGGCCAGGAAGGGTCCGAGGGAGGGCTCCAGGGCATGTCTGGCCCACCTGGCCAGGTACCCATTGGCCGGAGCCAGCAGCAAGCTAACCTATGGGTTGGAGCATCTGCCCCCTGGTGGTCAGTGTGCATCATAGCAACTAGTCGAACAGTCAATGGACAGTCACTTAGCATATTGGGCTTTTATTATATAGAACTAGTGGCCCGGTACACGAAATTTGTGCACTGGGAGGTGGGAGGGAGTGTCCCTCAGCCTGGCCTGCATCCTCTCCAATCTGGGACCCCTGTGGGATCAGGCCTAAACTGGCAGTCAGACAACCCCCTGGCAATGCGGGATTACTCCTAACTGCTCACCTGCCTGCCTGCTTGATCTCCCCTAACCACTCTGCCTGCTGGCCTGCTTGTCTCCAGCTGCACCCCCACCCCCCGCCAGCCTGATTACCCCCAACTGCCCTCCCCTCCTGGCCAGATCACCCCTGACCGCCTCTGCCTCGGCCCCGCCACCATGCCTTTGCCGGGAAGGACATCTGGAAGGCCTCGTGGTCTAATGAGCATCTCACCCTTTTATTAATATGGACGTCAGAGAGGAAGGGAGTGGGAGAGAAAGAAACATCAGCGATGAGAGAGATCACGGATCGGCCGCCTCCTGCATGCCCCCCACTGGGGATCCAGCTGCAGCCTGGCCGTGTGCCTGGCTGGGGATCGAACCCTAGGTCCACGCCCAACCCCTGGGCCACGCCGGCCGGGCTGACCTCTATTTGTTAAGTTAAGCTCCACCTGGAGCTCACTAGCCTATCGGTAACAGTCGCTGGTGCAGATCTGAAAACACAGTATGGAAGCAGACCGGGCTGGACCCAGCCTCCGCCCGGAAGGCCCAGGGGGAGGCCCGGATCCGTGAGGTCACAGCAGAGTCAGCACTTCATGACTCACCGATGACTCACCAGCCGCCTAGCGGAGCCTCCTGGCAGCCGTTCAACCGCCCGCCCGGGAAAACACAGCCGAGCACCTCCCGCTCTGCCGACCCCAAGGCCTCCGCGCCCCACAGAGCCCCAGCAGCCCGGCCCACGTGGCACCGCTAAGGGCGAAGCTGGAGAACAGGCCACGCGTGTTCCAAACAGTGTCCTACACATCAACCCGGAGAGCAGCCTCGGAGGACTAACCCGTTCCACACAGCACACCCTGCAAAGCACTGGAGCCGAGAATGCGAAGGAGCAGGGCGGGCGGGAGGGAGGGCAGCCGCCTCCGTTAATCACAGGGAAATCTGTGCTCGGCTCCCAGGAAGCTGAGCCGGAAAGCACCCCGTAAAACCCGCTGCTCCGCCTCCCTTCCCGCCGCTCCTGGTCCCCAGACGGGGCCTGCCGTGCCCCGCGCCCTGCGGGGGGGAGAAGCAGTGAGGTCACCCCGCATGGCCTGGGCGAGGGAGAGCGGTCCTCTGAACGCCGGTGTCAAATGACGTCCCTCCCCCAAAACGGCTTTAAAACCAAACATGAGGGAGCAACCGAGGGACTTGTCTGCACGCACAGTGGCCTCAGCCAGGGACACAGACACGGCGGGGGCCTGCCCGGGCGGGAACGGCTGGGAGAGGGAGGGGAGAGGCGACCACTGGGATAAGAGAAGCCGTATATATCATAAAACCTCAGGCAATAAAAAGCAAAATACAGTTTCCACGTCTAAGACCCGGGAAGACCACCAAGAACAGCTTTCCCTCCAGAAAACGAGACTTAAACATCGAAAGACATCCGGCGGCCTGGCCGGTGTGGCTCAGTGGGCAGAGCTCCCGGCTGCGGACTGAAGGGTCTCAGGTTCGACTGCGGTCAAGGGCATGAGCCTGGGGTGAGGGCTCCGGGCCTGGTTCCTGGTCAGGGTCTGGGCCCTGGTCGGGGTGTGGGTGCAGCAGGCGACCAGGCAGCACATCTGTGTTTCTCTCTGTCCCCCCTCCCTCCCTCCATCCTCCCTAAACATCAATGGGAACACCCTGGGGTGAGGGCTAAGGACAACACAGAGGCCTCCGCGGACACGGTGACGTCACTGGGCGAGAATGACGTCACTGTCCGTCCGGTCCAAGCCCAGGTCCAGCCCATCGGTCCCGGTCCGTCCCGCCCCGCGGCCCCTGCGCGCGATGGGCCCCGCGATGGGCCTCTGAGCCACAGCCCGTTCTTCCCAACAGAGTGGGTCCGACCGGGCACAGAGGGCACCCCAGGGCGCCTGACCCCCAAATGTGCGCCCGGAGCGGGGCGCCGGTTTGGCGGGCGGTGCGGTCCTTCCTCTTCGGTGCCGGGACGGAGGGGTCAGCGCGAGGTTCGGTCTGGGAAGCGGAACCGGCTCGGGGGAGCTAGGGGGGTGCCGGGAAGTTGGGGTGAAGCTGACCAGCCCGGCCGACCTGAGCCCATCGCCCTCTCCCCGGCCCCCCTCCCCGGATCCCCAGATCCCCGCCCCCCCCCCCGGATCCCCAGATCCCCGGCCCCCCTCCCCGGATCCCCAGATCCCCGACCCCCTCCCCGGATCCCCAGATCCCCGGCCCCCCTCCCCGGATCCCCAGATCCCCGCCCCCCCCCGGATCCCCAGATCCCCGGCCCCCCTCCCCGGATCCCCAGATCCCCGACCCCCTCCCCGGATCCCCAGATCCCCGGTCACCCTCCCCGGATCCCCGGCCCCCCTCCCTGTCCCGGTCCCGGCCCCGGGGCGCGGGGCGCGGGGCGCGGGGCGGACACTCACGGGGACGCGCGCGGCGCGAAGAAGTCCACGGCGAAGCCGAAGTAGCTGCCCGCGGGGCCCGCGTACTCGGCGGGGCGCTCGGCGTCCAGGTTGAAGGCGGCGCCGAGCGGCAGCAGCGGCGGCAGGAGGAGCGGGAGGAGGAGCGGGAGGAGGACCCGGAGGAGCCCCGGGGGCGGCGGGCAGGGCCCCGGCGCCGAGGCCATCGCGGAGCGCAGGGCACGGCCTCCCCGCGGGCGCAGGGCCGGGCGGCGGGGACTCCGGCGCGGGGCGCGGGGCGCGGCCTCTCCTCCTCGGCGGGACGGGGACTCTGTGCCGCCTGTGCCGGGGGTGGAGCCGCCGGAGGAAGTGGGGGCGGAGCCGCACCCCGAGGCCTGGCCGATCCACTTCCTGGGCGCCGGGCCTCTGTCTGTCTGTCTGTCTGTCCCGGGGGAGCGGCCTCTGTCCGCCCGGACCCGCCTCCCCGCGGGCGGAGCTGCCGACTTCTGCTGGGAGCCTGGGCAGCCCCTGCACCGGCCCCAGGAGCCTCCATGCTGGTGGGCGTCCCCCTCCACCCCCTTCACTCAGGCCAACCCCCTCAGCACCCCGAAACCCCCTCCACTCACACACACGCACACTCACACACACGCACACTCACACACACGCACACTCACACACACATGCACTCACATACATACACACTCCACACGCACACAAACATGCACACTCACACACACAAACATGCACACACTCACACCTGCACTCACATACATACACACTCCACACGCACACACAAACATGCACACTCACACACACACAAACATGCACACACACATGCACTCACACTGGCACACATGCACTCACATACACACACTCCACACGCACACACAAACATGCACACACTCACACATGCACTCACATACATACACACTCCACATGCACACGCACACACAAACATGCACACTCGCACACATGCACTCATACATACACACTCACATGTACGCGCGCACACGCACACACACTCACAAACATGCGCACATTCACACACACACACACACACACACACACACACACACACACACTGGACTTCATTACAAGCTCTGGGAGGCAGCAGGGCTTTCAGGAACGGGGCTGCAGCCTCACTGGGAGCCAGGCCGTCAGGCGGTCAGTCTGCGGCTGCCACGGCCTCGGTGACCTTGGAAAGAGGAAGGCAGGAGGGCGGGCGGGCAGAGCCTGGCGTGAGGGAGCCAGCGGAGCACAGCCGTGTTCCTGTGTGTCCGCGAGCCCAGGGATTGCTGTGCTTGTGGAGTCTGCGTTCCATTCGGGGGGAATGTGACAGCGTCGGGGGGAGCATGGGCACCTCCGCGCTCCACAGCCCAGCTGCCTGCACTGTGCCCGGTGCCAGGGACCCAGCCAGACAGACTCCCCGTCAGGAACCTGGGACCCTTTTCTTTTCGTTTTGTTTTTAATGACTCCTCCCTCCCTGCGAGCCTGCCCTCGGACCCAGCCTCCTGCGGGGGGGGGGGGGGGGGCACCCTTTTCCTTATGGTCCCCAGTCCCAGCACCTTGCCAAGCAGACAGCAGACAATAAAATGGAGAACAGGTGGGCGTAAAAGCGTGAGTGAACTTGCCCGGAGAAGTGATTTTCTAAAAATGAGGCCAGCCCAGCCGGCTGGTGTGGCTCTGTGATGGAGAGTGACCTATGAACCAGGGGGTCACAGGTCAGTTCCCGGTCAGGGCACAGGCCCCGTGGCAGGCTCCTTCAGGAGGCAGCCGACAGATGACTCTCCTCACTGATGTCTCTCTCTCTTCCCCTCTCTGAAGTCAATAGAAATATATTTTAATAAAAATAACAAAACGAGGACAGTGTAGGGGACCTCTGGGACAACATGAAGGGTAATTTACCCGCATGATAAGGACGCTACGAGGAGAAGAAAGGGAGCAAGGAGCTGAGGCCCTATTTGAAAATTAATGGCGGGAAATCCCCCAGCTGGCTGGCGTGGGGACAGGCGGACCAGCCACGCCCAGGACCAGTGCTGCTCACCACGGAGCTGAGCTCAGCGACGGAAGAATTCCTCTGTCTGGAGACCCAGTGCCAGCGGACGCTTCCTGCTGAGTGCTGGGTGCGCACGGGGGATTGTGCGCACATGAAGTCACGTGTTGGTCCTTAAACCCGGCAGGTAGATCCCAGGACTCGTCACAATGTAGGGAGGAAAAGGCTGATTTCTCCCAGATGGAGTCCTTTTTCCAAGGCCGTGGCAGAGGCAGAGGGAGCACGGGATGGCCTGGCTCCAAGCCCACGCTGGTTGGCCGTAAGTTGCCTTTTCCAGTGTGAAATGCACACCATGCAGCACAGGAATAAACAAAGGTAAAGGGATGTAATAGAGTCAAATCGATCTGGAGCTAACAATTACCCTCACCTCCATTCCTTCCGAACTTTTTACAGCTCAGTGTTTACCAATAAAATATTTAAGCCAAGCTTTCCTATCGGTTGTATTCACCGAATAAGATCTGCTAACTTGGGAAGGTTTGTCTAAGAAGAAATTATGAAAGAGTAACTGAACGAGACCTGAGTAAAGACTAAAAATGGTCTTAATCTCCTAACGTGTCCCCGTGAAGGAAGCATAGCCTGGCCGGCGGGCTCATTGGGTGAGTTCCCACGAACCAGGAGGTGGAGGTTTGATTCCCGGTCAGGGCACAGGCCTGGATTGTGGGCTCCATCCCCAATGTGGGGACATGCAGGAAGCAACCGATCTCACCAGTGATGTTCCTCTCTCTCTCTCTCCCTCTCTCTCTCTCTCTGTCTCTCTCTCTCTCAGTTGTTGGTATTAAGAAAGGAAGTATGAATTAAGATATTGTGAGCAATATTCTTTTCCATGAATTGGTGCCTTCCCCAATTTTGTTCCTTGGAAAGGATTCATGTAGGGGTTTTCTGAACTCTCCGGTCTTGTTTTACACTTGGAGACATATTAAAGATTCCCTCCTTTCAGTCATTATGGAAAAACTGGGAATTTTCATGAAATATTAAATGTTTGGATTTAATAGGAAATGATTACGTTCACAAAGCTCTTTTTAAAAAATATGTATTTTATTGATTTTTTACAGAGGAAGGGAAAGGGAGAGAGGGTTAGAAACATCAATGAGAGAGAGCCATCCCGGTCACGGCACAGGCCCTTGTTTCGGACTCGATCCCCAGAGTGGGGCGTGCAGGAGGCAGCTGATCCATGATTCTCGCTCATTATGGATGTTTCTCTCTCTCCCTCTCCCTTCCTCTCACAAATCAATAAAGTTATATTTTTAAAAACTCAAGCTAAGGCCGGGGTGCGGCCGAGGGGCGCTGCCTCCTGGAACGTGCCATGCTGGAACCATCCCTCTCCTGTTCCCCCAAACACTCTCACTGGGCGGATGGGACAATGAGCCTGTGAACCGTGGCCAGTGTGGCTGAGGAATTACTTTAAATCCCCTTTACGTGTCACAGCCAACGTGTGGCCAGCGCCTCCCGAATGAGCAGCAGAGTAGCCAGAGGATTCACAGGCTGGAAGGACTGTGTGTGACAGGCTCTGGAGTTTCCCCAGTTACGCCGCCCTCGGGGGCAGACGTGAGGGGCTGTGTCTGGTTTGTCTGCTCCGTTGTCGTGTGTCGTGTACCCCCCCACCCCAACCCCGTCTTCCTGTCCCGGGAGCTGGGGTTCCTCCGTGATTAGCTCAGTCACCTGGCCCTCCCACGGCCACGAGCAGCGGAAAAAAACAGAATCCACTGGGCCACGCCCTCTCCTCCCCTACGGCCTCCTCCGGCGAAGGGTGGGGTGCAGTTCGGTGAGCTGGGGAGTCTTCACTCCCCTGGAGGCAGGCCAGGTGCTCGATGCCACGGGCAGACGCTGGGATTGCCTCTCCCTCTGTTCCAGCCGCTCAGGTGTCACAGCGCGGCTGGAAGAGGGAGGTTACGGGAAACACTGTGTGACCCGCCTAGAGATTGGGAGATTCACCTCCCACGCTCACGCAGGCCCACCTCACCGAGGCCCGAGGACAGGTTCTCGCTGCTGGGGGTTTTTTGTTCTCAGCCCTCCCGCCGGCAACGGCGAGGCCGGGCCCGACTTCCATCCGCTGAGCCGCGTGGAGCCCAGGACCCGGGTCTGACGACGCCTGATCACAGCCTTCTCTTCCTATCGATCCCTTCCGCGTTCACTCACCCGGGCCCCAATGTTCTTGGCAGAGGGACACCTCCCCGCCTTCGGATGACATGTGAGCAGAATTCACTGACAGGAGGCAGAGCAAAGAGCGGGATCTCCATCAGCACGGCCAAAGCCCAGGCTGGCTTGATTGACTGATTGATCGACTGATTATTTTTTTAATTTATTCATTTATTTGCTTTTATTACCCCGGTCCAATTTTATTTATTTTTTTAAATAAACCTTTATTGTTCATATTATTACAAAAGTTCCTCATTTTTTTCCCCCCTCCACCGGGTTCCCAGCCCACCCTCTGCCCTTTCCCCGCCCTCCATTGTCCTCATCCATAGGTGCACAGTTTATGTTCAGTCTCTTCCCGCACCTCCCACTCCTCTTTTCCCTGAGAATCATCAGTCCACTCCCCTGATTTTTATTGATTTCAGAGAGGGAGAGAGAGAAACATCCATGATGAGAGAGAATCATGGATCACTGCCTCCTGTACGCCCCCTCTGGGGACCGAGCCCACAACCAGGGCCTGTGCCCGGACTGGGAATGGAACCGGGACCCTTCAGTCCACAGGCTGACGCTCTAGCCACTGAGCCACGCCGGGCAGGGCCAGAGGCCTTATTTTAAGCTGGCAGCTCGGTGGGACAGCGTGAGCGGGGACTGCGCTGATCTGAGGAGGAGGCGCAGGCGGTACAATCACACGTCCTGCAGGAGGCGGGCTGGAGCCTCAGCTCTGCCTGTGGGGACACCGCCTGCGGCTGGTGACAGCGGAGGTGGCCGCCCATCTCCCCTCTTCTCCCCACCCTCCGCCCCAGCGCCGCCCAGCAGCTCCCGCTCTGCCTGCAAACTGCCCAGATACTGAGACACAGGCTCCGAGTGCCTCCTGGGAAGCGGCTCCCAGGAGCCTACATGCAGCCGTTCTTAAGGGGAATCCTGGCTCCGAGTGCGTGAGCGGACACACCGCCCGACGGACGGAAACGGTGGCCGCAGCCCTGCGCTCCGGGCCGCCCGAGTCCCCGCTGCAAACGCAGGTCTCTCTCCACGCATGTTCGCTCCGCACGTGTGCCCCTGGGGCTCGGGCTGGAGCCGTGGTCGGCAGACTGCGGCTCTCGAGCCACATGCGGCTCTCTGGCCCCTGGAGTGTGGCTCTTCCACAAAACACCACGGCCTGGGCGAGTCTGTGCTGAAGAAGTGGCGTGAGAAGAAGCTTGCGTTTAAACACTGTGGCTCTCCAAGGAAATGCCA